AGAAAAAAAAAGAACCAAAACAGCAAAAATTTCTCGTCCAAACAATCGAAAGAGAAAAAATTCCACAGACAAAAAAGAAATGCGGAAGAATTGTTTATAGAAGACTTGAAGAGCCACATACTGCTCATTGAATTGACTTTCCTCTTTGCGTGAAATGAGCACATTTTTGGCCAAAAATAATGCTCAACATTTGCTATTAAAAAAATGAAAAAGAATGTCACAAAAAAAAGTGAAAAATCGAACGAAATTCCAGAATTGCATAAACAGGCTATGGGAATCATCAGTAGAGCTTCCTACCAGTCAGGCATTCCAGTGTGCATTTTTGTGATTTTCGATAAACGGAGAGGAGACAAAAGACGAAGTAAAAAGAGGTGATAAGAGGGAATTGTAGAAAAAATACCTAAAAAGATTTATACCAACAAAAAAATTACTAAACCATAAAATTAAACTGACGAATACGGTTCAATGGAAAATGGTTCCGAAGTCATATGGAAAGTCGAGGACTCGCGTAATCAATCCGTCCACAATTCTCTCCATTCAACTCAAGGGCAGTTTAGTACTAAAACATACCAGGAAGTAACAAAACTGTTATCAGTTTGCTTATAAGCAACCCTCGAAAGAGGAAGTTAACAAGAGTCTCGTTATCGAATGTTTGTTATTGATATGTGCTAACACTCGGAGCAAAGCATTAAAAATGGCAGGATAAAATGTTTCAGAAAGAAAAAGAAAAATTCGCAAAAAGTCATCGAATATCAATTTTTTTAATCAGATTTTTGTAAATAACGCTTGAAATTTGAAATCCACGTGAAAATCAACACAAACTGCAACCCTCCTTATTTACTCCAGGAAATTATCCACTTCTTATGTTTCAATTCGAGAATCATAGAACGGCATGGAAGGGTGGAACGACTGCTGCTAGTACAGACGCAATGAAGCGTTGAAGCGTAACTAATTTATTTCCAATTGCTTTCGTAAACGCGAAAGAAGGCCAGTGGCCGGAAGGAAGATGAGGGGGAGGGGGAAAATGAGGTGAGAAATGCGGGAAAACGAGGTGAAACGATTCCCCCTTTCAAAACCAGCCCTGCAAAACTAAACGCATATTCAACAAATCTTTGCCTTCGAGTACAAATTCGTGGATAAGCCTTCGGAGCGCTGTTCACCAGGGAAATGACGCACTAGAGTTATTAGTAAAGTGCAGGAAAGCTGCTCGCTTATACTAACTTGTTGCCACCCTAAAATATGACTCATCCACGGGGGCAGCCAATGAAAAAAAAAAGTACATGCGAGAAAATAGCAGTACACATCATCGCACTAACGAATCTTGTGCTTTTCCTGGAATGATCTGATTTAAAAAAAAAGAAGCATATGCCAAGAAAATTTTAATACGCTCTGTGACTCATAGTCTGATGATCTAGCTTTCAATTGGCAAAAACTTTTTCTGTTGTTTTGGCCAATGCTGCGTTGTCTAATGGTCAGTTTGCTGGCGATTCTGACGTTCATTTCGTATTCTGAAGGGAGCTTAACAATTCCCCAAAAGAAGCATGTGCTATGTCTTTAACCGTTCCTTAATCTACATGTTTTTGTTGTTCATCACCAATTCCTAGATCAAAGTGAAGTACGTTACGATTACCAGGACAGATTAATAGATATTATAAAATTACTTTTTAAAGAGAACCAGGAGAGTAAGCAAGACTAAAATGAAAATTAAAAGAGCGCCATTTTCATTCTCCTACAAAAACGAAGATGAGAGACAACAGACAGACAAAGCGGATTACTGAAAGATATTCAAATAGTGACAGAAGATCATAAATAAGGTGTAGAGCGAGATCAAAAATCCAGTTCTATGCGAAATTACATGGAATGAGAGATCCAAAACAGAGAAGAATGGAGAAATTGCCAGCTGATAGAAGAGTAGCTGGTGTCCAAATCAACCAAGAAAAAAGAAAGCTTCCTTTGATATATGAACAAATACAGTTCCTTTAGTTTCTCTTCCAGCCAACAAAGAGTTAATAAATTTGGAAACACAAAACAGTCCAAAATAAGATAATTGTATTAGTAAGAGCATCAGGACCAAGTAGCGCAAAACAAAATATTTCAAACCACTTGAAATCAGACTCATTCCCTTCATATTTCACTCCCTGCAACATGCGGGGAACCGGAATTTACCCGCCTAATGGCAATTTCCGGCTGTAACCATTATTACGAGAGTTGTCTAAGAGAAAACTTGAACGAAATTGCATGTTATTTTGCGCGTTGCGTAACTATTGACCAATCTATCGAAACGAATCAATTAGTTGTAAAAGCACTGATTTTCGACTGGCAAAATAAACCAGGACATCGAGTAAGACATTAAGTGCCAATTATGATTATAATAAGTCTGCCATTGAACCAAAATGTGGAAATCAAAAACGAAAAATCTATAATCAAAAAAATCTATAAAAAATCTATAATATAATCAAAATCTTTTCTCCCTAAAATAGCATATTTCTTGATTATACAGTTTTTTTAATAATATTTCTTAGTTACATAGATTTTTATAATAAAATTATTAAAAAAAAACTATATAATCAAGAAATATGCTATTTTAATAAGAAAATCAGCTGCGTAAATGCACTGAACGGACTGTACACCCACTGCTGGAGGTATGCAGCTCAGGATCGAAC